AGTCCGTCGTCACGCACCAACCCACGAAGTTGTCACCCCGCTTAGTCCTCCTGTGCCCGTCGGATTCGCCCGCCCGCGACAGTCCGTCGTAGCCCCACACGTCAATCCCGCACATTCGACACCAGCTCATCGGGTCGCCCAACTCCCACTTCAACTCACCTCTTACTTTGCTCGTGAGCCGACCCTCACTGATCGCGCTACCCCGAGCTTCCAACAACTGTTTAAGAGAGTTATTTAATCGCTCAACCAAAATTTATAGCGTGCATGCATGCACGAAGAACACGGAATTGCAAAGACTTAGACGAAGAGAGGGGGAAGGAGTGCCTACGTTCTGCATGGCCAGATCGCGGCGTGGGGGACGTAGCCACTCTCCACGCATCGATCCGAGCGTGCAGTCCGCGGGCCACCTAGGCACAGAAGAAAGAGAAGAGAGGGCGGGAAAGACAAAGTCTAAGAAGAAAGATACAGTTACAAGGGTGCCCGCCCAAAATTACAGTTACACACAAGATTAAGGGTGCCGACTAATCACAGCTCTGTTGCAGCCGCAAAAAGAAACGCGCGAGTAAAAGGCACCGCGTGACAAAATAAATTACTAGATTCCTAAATTCCTACTTACTGCAAAAATGCAAAAAACACAAATCCGAAAAGAAAGTCCCAAATTCCGTGAGTCATCGAGGGCTCGACAAAATTCAAAAAGAAATTAAAAAAGAAGCAAAACATCCCTCGCGATCACCGCGCCAAGAACCCGACAACAGAATAAGAAAAAAGCGACATCAAACATTATTAATCGCGCCTCTGTCGGCGCGCCAGCCACTCAACCGATCATCCCGGGACTTACCCATCCCTTAACCCAGCCATCCGAAAAGAAGCGACGCAAAAAGACGAAGAAGCGAGGACACCGATGCAATTTTCCCTTCGATCCCGATCTCCTGTAATTGGCCCAACCTTCCCATCTTAGGACCCCTCATTGTCATCGCGTAGAAAATCGCGCGGAACAAAAATTGGGTCGTCACATATGTGACGCCTAGGGGGTTCCAATCTTAAGCAAGCCTCTGCTTGCTTGGTCATCATGACACGTGTCGATCACTCCAATCGATCGTCACGTGGAGCTTCCGCGTTGCCACTTACCGTGTGATAAGAGTGTTGAAGCCATCCGGTGTGGCATACGTGGCTCTACCCTACAAATTCCTCGGGAAGGGCTCTCCTCGCTCGAAGGAGGGGATCGTTCGTGTCATCGTCATGACACATGCCATGCATCCGTGCATCAGTGACTAGTAGGGAGAGGAAAGGGAAGGCGGTACATGGGGACGTGCTGAGGGGGCGGGTCAGTCGAGAGTGGGGGTAGGTTACAGGGCTCCTGCAAACAGCAGGTTACAGGGCAACTCTACAACACTGGCTAGCAATGTTTTGGCATGGACCCCTCGGGGTCACTGAACCTCACAGCCTCAGTACAGCCTCGGATGAACTGCAACTACCACCGGAATCCTCGCTTCTAGTTTCTCCACTAACCAAAAGTATTCTTGGAACATGTGGATATTGACAAGAACCTTATGAGGATCAGCTGAGACTATACAGGAGCCTAAAGAACCAAAAAACGGCGATTTCGTCAAAACAGACATTTTATATTTTTTGAACGAAATTGTAACAGGGTCCATTTGGACTTAACTGAAGTTCAGGTACATGCAAGGGGGACCCTAAGGAGCTAATTTGGTGACATTTTCAGGGCCAAAAAAATAAAATGCTTGTTTTAACGAAATGGTTGTTGAAAGCTACCCTTAGGCTACCGGTAGTGCTACTCAACAGACTAAACCAAAATTGCCTCAAACGTCACATCCTCCCTAGCAGGACTCTACCAGGACTCTCACCCTGAACATGATATGGGACGCTGGGCCCGGTTCCCTGCACGTGTTGCTCCCCACGAATAGATTGGAACTTTGTTCCCTAAAAAAAAAAGAAAAAAAAAAGGTTACAGGGCGGCACATTCTGCCCTGACTGCGGCCAGCGTCACCTGGTAACAACTCCCGGATGACCACTGGAATGCCTTCCACCCTCTGCAATTCCTTTCATTCACTCATTAGCATCCCCCATAAGAAGACCCGGTTCTCGATGGCTCCATCTATTAGTGGGGAGAAACACATACTGAAAAGCGGGTCCAACGTCCCATCATACATTTTACAGAGTTTCAACAATGATAGTCGTACTTGGGAGCCTCCTAATACATTGTCCGCATGGGAAAAGACCCTGTGACGAACCAATTTCTATTCCGCGTGATTTTTTGCGAGACGACAATGAGGAGTCCTAAGATGGGAAGGTTGGGCCAATTACGGGAGATCGGGATCGAAGGGAAAATTGCATCGGTGTCCTCGCTTCTTCGTCTTTTGCGTCGCTTCTTTTCGGATGGCTGGGTTCAAGGCAAGGCAAGTCCCGGGATGATCGGTTGAGTGGCTGGCGCGCCGACAGAGGCATGATTAATAATGTTTGATGTCGCTTCTTTCTTATTCCGTTCTTGGGTTCTTTGCATGGTGATCGCGTGGGATGTTTTGCTTCTTTTTAAATTTCTTTTTGAATCTTGTCGAGCTCTCGATGGCTCTCGGAATTTCGGACTTTCTTTTCGGATTTGTGCTTTTTGCATTTTTGCAGTAACTAGGAATTTGAGAATTTAGGAATTTATTTTGTCGCGCGGTGCCTTTTACTCGCGCGTTTCTTTTTGCGGCTGCAACAGAGCTGTGATTAGTCGGCGCCCTTAATCTTGTGTGTAACTGTAATTTTGGGCGGGCGCCCTTGTATTTGTATCTTTCTTCTTAAGCTTCGTCTTTCCCGCCCTCTCTTCTCTTTCTTCAATGCCTAGGTAGTCCGCGGACTGCATGCTCTGATCGATGCGTGGAGAGTGGCTACGTCCCCCACGCCGCGATCTGGCCATGCAGAACGTAGGCACTCCTTCCCCCTCTCTTCGTCTAAGTCTTTGCAATTCCGTGTTCTTCGCGCATGCATGCATGCTATAAATTTCGGCTACGCGATTAAATAACTCTCTTAAACAGTTGTTGGAAGCTCGGGGTAGCGCGATCAGTGAGGGTCGGCTCACGAGCAAAGTAAGAGGTGAGTTGAAGTGGGAGTTGGGCGACCCGATGAGCTGGTGCCGAATGTGCGGCATTGACGCGTGGGGCTACGACGGACTGTAGCGCGCGGACGAATCCGACGGGAACGTGAGGACTAAGCAGGGTGACAACTTCGTGGGTTGGTGCGTGACGACGGACTGTCCTCATCGGAGAGAGAGAGAGAGAGAGAGAGAGAG